CATGAAGAAGTTTGGCATTTGCTTAAGAAATTCATTTTGCGTTTTTGTTGGCAAGAGCTGAACCAACTACTGAGCCAAAAATGCTTTTCAGAAACATCACTCCAAAATCATTCTTTTGATCAGACACCTGCTCAGAGCACTTTCTTCCTTTTACAAACTGGAACAGCAAAGAGTTTGAATGTTCTAGAAGCTCATATAAAGGATAAGGCTAGATATGTTTGAAAGCTGGTGAGTGGAATTTTTTGATCAGCAAGTAGCCTATATTTTGGGGCCAAAGGACACTGTCCAAATGGAGTATTTTTAAACTTGTCCTCTCAAGGTCTGGGAAACAATAGTTCATGTCTTAGCTGAGGCAATAATTGTCTGCTCCTGCTGAGTCAGGGATGGGGGAGCAGCACACAGGTACCCCTCCACCCTCTGGTTTCTCTGTTTATCCAGGGGACCCGATGGGGTGCAGCTCGAGAATGCTAACAGCAGCGTTGCCACTGTGACAGGGCTGCAAGTGGGAACCTACGTGTTCACCTTGACTGTCAAAGATGAGAGGAACCTGCAAAGCCAGAGCTCTGTGAATGTCATTGTCAAAGAAGGTACCTCCCTTCCGCGGGCTGGTGCAGCAGCCTCTGGGTCAGATAACTGAGGGACCCATCACCTCTTGTTTGCCTGCAGAAATTGCTTAGAGATAAGGGGTGGGGAAGAGAGTTGGGGGTAAGGACAGCTGTTATTTGCTTTTCTGAAACAAACTGAGAGTGACTTTAAGGTGAATTTTAACTTCTGTGTTCTCCTTCCCGTCCTCTCTCCCTTCCTTCTTTCTCTATTGAATAAGGAAAGAATTAAGGTTCTTTATTTTGCCTCTTCTGCTCAGACTTGGGGTTTCTTTGACGCTCCCGCTAGCTACAGTGACACCTGCTGTTGGACTTTAGAACGACTGTCCTGCACTGTAGCTTCCTTATGGTCATCTTATGAGCCTCTGCGCTGAGGCCAACATGAGGCAAGAGTTAATTGGCCTTGCTCTGGTTTGCAGGCACGATTATCAGTGATGGCCTTGGGAGAGGGCTATAAGCTGATAGCAGGAAAAAGCCATCAGATATGCAGATGACCTCTGATGTAGCATCCTGAGCTCAGTAAACACTAGAGAGTATACACCTGAGCAAACAAAGCTACTGGTGGAGTCCAAGTTAAGAGAGGTCTCTCTCTCCTTGTTCTCTATTAAAGTACTAAGGAATAAATCAAAAAAGATGTTCAGAGATTAACATTTTAAGCCATATTTTAAACAGAATTTGTGGTATTAGCTGGATGAAACTAAGCTTTGAGGCTTTAATCCACTGTGGGCCTGTGTTTCCAATCATCATATACCTCCAAGGCAGAGAAGTAGATTCCTTTCAGGGAGGCTGCTCTGAGAATACAGGAGGAAACTACACTTGTCCCCTCTGCTGGACAGTGTCAGGAGAACATTTCTCTGGGTGGGACTGGAACCTCAGGACCTGAAGCAATCGATGGTGGTTTTAAATCTGTCAGTTGCTGGCATGGATAGACACTTGAAACAGTTCTCCATGTAAGATGCTTTTGATGTTTAATTTCCCCATCAACATATGAAGAAACAGTTCTTCTCCCCCAGCATGTTATATTCTTTCAATGATTTCTCTTTGGTTAGAAATAAACAAACCGCCTGTAGCCAAGATAACTGGGAATGTGGTGATAACCTTGCCCACGGACACAGCAGAATTGGATGGCTCCAAGTCCTCAGATGACAAGGGAATAGTCAGCTACCTCTGGACTCGAGATGAGGGGAGCCCAGCAGCAGGGGTAAGTGTGCCAGGTGTTGAAGAGCAATGCAAGGTCAAGGTGGTGAGATGGGGAGAGGAGGCCAAGCCAAACATTCTAAAATGATTTAACCAAGTGGTTTCTTGTATCAAACCTGGACTGCTCTCTGAAATCCAAGGAGGTTAAATGACTTGCCTAGGGTCACTCTGCAAGCTAGTGTGGCACAGAATGTCTTTCTCTTTCATGATCCTAGCAGCTGTGGGCTGCAGAGCTATTATAAAGCAGGAGCTGCCCAGATGGGCTTAGTTATGACAAAAGCAGCAACTAAATCCACAAAGAAGTGTGGTTTTGTTCTGTAGCATAACCGTGTTGTTCAACCCCACAGGAGGTGTTAAATCACTCTGACCATCGCCCTATCCTCTTTCTTTCCAACCTGGTCGAGGGAACCTACACATTTCACCTGAAAGTGACTGATGTGAAGGGTGAGAGTGACACAGACCAGACCACTGTGGAGGTGAAACCTGGTGAGTTCATTTGGTGTTGAGACTGAGTGGGATTGCTGGATCAGCCAGGCAGGGCCTCGACCCTGAGACCCTTTCCCCCTGGCATGGACAGAGCCAGATGGCATATCTAGCTTTTAAAAAAAATCTAGAAACCCCAAGCTGAAATATCCTTAGAGACCATTTTGTTCCAACGTTCTCTCTCCTACCCACGCAGGAATATGGACTTCCCCCTACTCATCTCAGATGGAGAAACAGAAACTCAGAGAGGGCAGGGCTTGCTCAGCGTCACACGGCAGTTGTGTCAGAGCCAGGCCTTTGTGCCCTAGCCCAGCACTTTCTCCTCTACATGTGGCTGATGAGACGGGGCTCAGGGTGCTTTGGGAATCTGAGCACAGGAATAACTTGAGTCATGATGTCTCATCAGCACCCAGATGCAGAAAACAATTTATTTTTATAAGTTGAGCCTCAGGCTTTATCTGACAACCCAGGGAAGGTAAAGTAATTGGTGTCCTTTACATTTTTCAGATTTGCAGAAATAAAATTTCCTTCTTAAATAAGAACCATGTTTTTCTTTTGCTTTGAGGCTCATTTGGTATAGGAAAGGAGTGTAGGGTGGGCTAGAGCCTTATAAATCCTTGAGCATCTGATGAGGAGGTATTAACTTTAAACTTACTCTTTATTATCTAGGCCAAGCTCCTGTATGGATGTTTTAGATGAGAAGGGATCTTGGCAGGTCTTCCAGTCCTTGTCCCATCTCTCCGAAGGACAACAGCCAAGACACTATAAAGCTTCTTCTGTGTTTAAAATCAGATCACAGATAGTCTACTAATTATGTAAATTACACATCAGAACAGGCAAATGGTGCATTCAAGTATGTGAATAAGGTCTTCTGAATAATCACTTTGAACTTCCAAGTATAGAACAGTCTTTAGGACATAATCACAATGGCCTCCCCATTCTGGAGTTGTGGAAACATGGTGCAGCTGTGATGTGGCTCTGAGGACATTCTTGTCTGTTGGCTGCCTGGATTTCCTTTGTGTTTACTGTTTTCAAACCTGTAGGGCAGATGCAGTCCCATCACTGGTGAGATTGTTGAGATGGACGTTTTCCTTCCCATTGTGTAGACGAAGTACAGCAAGTCACTGAGAATCAGATGTGGATCAAGAGAGATTGTTAGGTAGCCCCACTTGGCCTGGAGACTTCAGCAAAGCCAACTGGGGAGAGGCTTTTAAAACAAACCTTCAAGTGTTTCTCTTTCCCAGTCCCTTCATTAAACCCCGTTGCCTCCTTGCTTTGGCCTAATCCTCAGCACATACGTGGTCATTCTCAGGTTGATATGGGGACCAAGAGTCCTTTCAAAGCTCTCCAAGCCAGCCCCAGATGCATTACTAAGAATTCATCATTGTCCCTCTCCATTTGAAGGAGGTCTGTTGCATTTCTAAACACTCTCACTGCTTTCTCTCCTGTGCCAAAGCAAACGCACAGTGGCAGGTCTATTTTAACTCTCCTATTCCAAAGCCGTGACTGATCCACATGCCTTCCAGATCCCAGGAAAAACAACCTGGTGGAGATCATCTTGGATGTCAACGTCAGCCAGCTAACTGAGAGGCTGAAGGGGATGTTCATCCGCCAGATTGGGGTCCTCCTGGGGGTGCTGGATTCCGACATCATTGTGCAAAAGATTCAGCCGTACACGGAGCAGAGGTAGCTGGGCAATGCACGGGGGGGAGAAAAAGAAAGACCAGGGGCCCCCTGGGCTTCATGATTGAGCTAACTAGTTTGGGTAGGTAGGGAAGGGTGGGCTCTCTAACCAGGAACCACTCATGGCGTCCATTTCTTTAATGAACTTTTCTAGTACTGGTCACATGTTCTGTACTAGACACTGTAGCAGGGTGCCGGGGTACAAGGTCAGAAGAGGTCCATTATGCTTGAAGGCCATAGTCTAGGAGGCGAAACAATCAAGTAAACATATAACATCAGCACAGGGTATATTTGATAGACCATGTGGTATCATGGAGGCACAGAGCAAGGGCAATTAGTTCTTTCAGGAAAGTCGGGGTAGAGAGTAGTCCAAAGATTTTCCAGAAGTAAAGCTTTCATTGGTCAAGCACAGGAGGACTAGAAGGAAATTCAGAATTGGGGAGCAGCATGAACAATGACCCTGAGGTGTGTAAGTACAGAGTTTCCTCCGGAAGAAGTCTTTCGGTTCAGAGTGCTCACTGGGCCCCAAAGCACAGTGGAAGGAAAGACTGGCTGTGTAGACTGAGAATGGTCATATGTGAGCAAAGGACTTTAGTCTTAATAGTCTAGGCAGGAGGACTCAAGTTAGTTTGTTTTATGTGCGTGAAGTTTTTGGTTTGTTTTTAAAACAAGGAAATTAGATTTTTTTTAAAAAAAGGGAGATCAGTAGTGTGGAGGCTAGATGACTAATAGGGAGAGACTGAAGGCTGGGAGACCAATCAGGCAGCTTTTGGACTAGTCTAGTAAAAAAGTAATAAAACCTGATTTAAGGTAGTGGTGATAGAAACGGCAAAAGAGAAGAAGAAATTAAAAAGAAATTCAGAAGTAAATCGATAGGACTTGGTGACCCTTTGGGAATGAAGGTGAATGAGGCATCAAATCTGAGGCTTTTGGTTTGGATGCCTGAAGAGATGGTGGATGCCATTAACTGAGATCAGGGGTACAGAGGAGCCAGTTGCGAAGAAAAGATGAGTTTAGTTTTGGCTATTAAATTTGGGGTGTCTTATGGGGTACATGGGGAGATGTTTCATCAGATAGTAGCAAGTATAGGCTGGGGTTTGGGGTGGCGGAAAAGCCAGAGATAGGGAGTTACTGCAAACGAGCAGGAGTCAAAGCCATGAGGACAGGTGAGTCACACTGGGGAATGTCAGGAGGGCTGAGGACAGATCCCTAGAGAACCCTCATATTTAAGGAGGAGGCAAAGAGAGAAGAGCCAGCAAAGGAAACTAAGAAACAGCTGTCAGAGAGGTGGGAGGAAGACCAGGTGGGACTGGTCTGTGGAAGTTAAGGGAAGAGCTGGCAGTTGGTGGTGGGGGGCGCTGCCAAAGGATTCAGATGCTAACAGAGAGGCGGGTGTGGTGAGGATGCAAAACAGGCGTTTGAGTTTGTGATTAGAAGATCCTCAGAATTATATCAGAATTATAGGGAGAGTATTTTACTTAGATGTTGGGGGCAGAGGGCAAATTCATTTCATGGTTTGAGGATAGTAAGTGCTGGTGCTGAGAATAATATGGGAGATGAGATCACAAGAACATCTTTTAAAGATAGGAAATACTTGAGCACTTTTATAGACTGAGGCGCAGGTGCAGAGGAAAAGTAGATGGTGGAGTTTGAGGGGGTGGGTTATAAATGGAGGTAGGTCTGGGGAACTGGTCGTGGGCAGAGTGGAAGCACCACTTTGGAGATAGGAGGAAAGGAGGGAAGATGTGCTACTGCGGGCGAATTTCGAGGTAGAGAGGATGAAATCTGAGATTGTTGGTACCAACAATCCTGTGTTTTGTCTCTGAAACTGGAGGCAAGGCCATCTGCTTTGAGAAGGTGAGAATGAGGTGGTAAAGGTTGGGGAGCAGCTCCTGGAGTGGGTGCTGGCTTTGAGCTAGCTATTTTGGGGTCTCAGCCAACGTTAGAGACAAGAAGTGAGAGCAGTAGTTCTCAACTCTAGCTACATAATAGAATCACCTGGAACTTTTACCTCACCCCAGAGGTTATGATTCACTTGGTCTGGAGTGAGGTCTGGACACCTAAAATCCAAAAGCTCCCCAGGTGAATCTAATATGCAGTCAGGGTTTACTGGGTCAGAGACCGCATCGTATGATCGTAGGACTTTCTTTTTAAGCTCCGCTCAGCAGCCTGGGAGTAGGCTGCTTGGATCAATCCAAGCTGGTGGGAACTGGCTGGGTCTGGGTAGATGCAGCAGAAAGATGAGCCAGAGCCCTGTGGAAGGCTATGCTCAGAGACTCCTATCACTGCATCGGTGTGAGGGAGAGAGCAGCCCCATGATGGCTGGGTTTCTGGCTTGGACTGGGTCAGCTTAGTTGAGGAATTCAGGAGCAGGATGTGACTGGAGAGAGGTAGTGAGTGTATTACAGTGGAAGGAGCGTGGGCCTTCCACCAGACACGTTACTTCACCCTCCAAACCTGTTTTATCACTTGTGAAAATACTAGTGCCCATTTTATAGGATCGTTATTGAAGATCCAATAAGATAATGTTTGTAAAGTCCCTAACACAGTGAGTGCTTAATTAAGGGTTATTATAAATTTATTTTGAGACATGTTAGATTTGAGGTGCCTGTGGAAGATCTGGGACAGCAAGCATTTGTAGACAGATTTGGTCACTTGAGACAGACATGGGGAGAGGAGATAAAGACTTGAGGGTTATTGGCATATAGAGAGAAATTTGAAACGATAAGTGTAGATTAGGTAACTGTGAGAAAATGGTGAGAAATGGACCACAGATCTTTTAAAGGTTTCTTTCTTGATCCTAGAATTTGTGATATCCTATTGTTAGCCTCCCTGTGCAGCAAGCTTTTAGAAAGTTTGACAGCAGTGCTTCTCAAATTTTTATGTCATGCCACATACAGACTTATATTGTAAGCAACTGTTGCAGGGGCTCTGGGATACCCAGGTCTCACCCAGCCACCCTGTGTGCTGAGGGCACACCTGTAAACCCAGCGTGACCCACTCAGTGGGGAGGTTCAGTCTGTGAGACTAACGTGAAGTCGAGAAGCCGGCTACCAAAATTGGAGGCCAAGCCATAGGGAACAGGTTTTGCGCCACCCAGATGTGAGTTCTGCCTTCGACAGAAATTGACAGAAAGCAAACAGATTTTGGGCATGGAATAACATGGTCTTGCACCAACCACAACACTGTGAAAAGTCTTTCTTGTTGCTGTCGCTTTAAGGATCATTTTGCCTATGTAACCCAGGCACAAACCTAGCAGCACCATAGTCTTAGCTGTTATAAGGCTGACAGCTGGGGTGTAGCCTTAACCAAATCCCCATTTTCTTGACCTCCAGTTACCTGTTTAGAATGGGTCCTCTTGTTAGCGGGGGCTGCTTCGGGCATTTCTAAAAGCATAGGCTTTTAGGTGAGGTCAGACATATCAGTGTTAGGATCTGGCTCTGCCATAATTAACTGTGTGACCTTGGGCAAGTTACTTACCCCTCTGAGCCCCAGTGTTGTCCTCTGTAAATGGAGCTGACACCGATAACACCTTTCTCACTGGCTTGCTGTGAGAGAATGCATGTCATACTTAGCACAGTGTCTGGCACAAGCAGAAGGTACTTAGCAAATCGTAGCCTCTGTTGTTGTTGTTGGTAACTCCAGCTCATTCATACTGTTGCATGTCTCTGCAGCACCAAGATGGTATTTTTTGTTCAAGACGAGCCTCCCCACCAGATCTTCAAAGGCCATGAGATGGCAGTGATGCTCAAGAGTGAGCTGAGGAAGCAAAAGGCAGACTTTCTGATATTCAGAGCCCTGGAAATCAATACCGTCAGTGAGTAATTCTGGGAAGCTGGGAACAAGAACCCAGCCCCAGTGTTGTCCTCTGTAAATGGAGCTGACACCGATAACACCTTTCTCACTGGCTTGCTGTGAGAGAATGCATGTCATACTTAGCACAGTGTCTGGCACAAGCAGAAGGTACTTAGCAAATCGTAGCCTCTGTTGTTGTTGTTGGTAACTCCAGCTCATTCATACTGTTGCATGTCTCTGCAGCACCAAGATGGTATTTTTTGTTCAAGACGAGCCTCCCCACCAGATCTTCAAAGGCCATGAGATGGCAGTGATGCTCAAGAGTGAGCTGAGGAAGCAAAAGGCAGACTTTCTGATATTCAGAGCCCTGGAAATCAATACCGTCAGTGAGTAATTCTGGGAAGCTGGGAACAAGAACCCAGTGCCCACCCTGACCTGTCAATCCCCGCTGTTCTTGGGCTCCACCCCGGCTCTCCAGGAACAATGGGGTCATCTGTTTCCTCCACTACATTAATTATGAAAAAGTCCTGACTCATAGAGGCTCTTGACCTGGGGTCCACGGGCCCCTGAAATAGTGTTCAGAGGGGCTGTGAGTTTGAATGGGGAAAAAATTACATCTTTCTTTTCATTAAGTTCTAATTGAAATTCATTATTTCTCTTAATTATGAAAGTAAGCAACAAACTACAGTATTATTAAGAGAACCTGTGACTTTGAGACAATAGAAATCACAGACCTTTTCGTATTACACATGATGAAATATCATTTTTACTTAACAGTAGTTCAGAATTATCAGTTGTTAGACCCACTCTAGATATTGTTATTTAATGTTTTAATAAAGGCACACATTTATTTTAAAGTTATATTCTCAGATATCTAAAAACAGGTTCAATGTAATTGCTTTCCTTTGTAATACTCTATATTTTATTTTGGCAATTAAATTATTCAGAGAAGGGGATCTGTGAGACATGAAAGCTTAAGATCTGCTGATATAGAGAAAAAACATGTAAAAACGTCTGGAACCATCTTCCAGTGATGATAATTACGGTCAACATGCCCAAACTATAGCTCTTGGGCTAGGTCTTCAGGAAACTACACCACAGGCCCCTGAACGGGGGCGCCTTCATACCTTTACGGGCACTGGACGCTGGTTGTCCCCCCGCCTCTGACTCCTCTTCACTTTTGTCCCTTTCCTGCTACTCTCAGCATGCCAGTTGAACTGTTCTGACCATGGCCACTGTGATTCATTCACCAAACGCTGTATCTGTGACCCTTTTTGGATGGAGAATTTCATCAAGGTGCAGCTGAGGGATGGAGACAGCAACTGTGGTGAGTTTTCTGCTTGACACTGTGCCAGCTACTTTGGCACTGAATATGGTTGAGTTGAGTGGGTGGGTGTTGGTGTTTCCGAGGCAGATGAGCAAGCGAGGAGAACTTTGTGTATTTTCTTGTTTGCAGAAGATTTTTACTTCCTTCCTCCACACTTGCTCAAGGTTAGAGGAGAGCTCCAAAGCAGTTGTATAAGAACCAAGCTTAAATCACACAACTGCAAACTGCAGCCTGAATCAGACTAGCTGCAATCAGACTTGCCTCCTGTCTCCCTGAAGTGCCCACATAGAAGCCCTCAGCTTTCTCTTCCGAAGCTCTTTTCTTCTGTTAAAGCTCCTTACAGCTGCCCCACTGCCCCAGGGTCTCAGAGAAGGGACTGAAAATCATGGACAGTTCAAACAGTTTAAACTTCAGCTGCTTCCAACTCTAAGATCCCACCTTCCTGGGGAAGCCTTGAGTCATCTCTTGCCCAAGGTCGGGGCAGCCCAGACCTCCCTCTAGCCTATCCACAGCCCTGACCATTTTGTTTTTCTTGGCAGAGTGGAGCGTGTTGTATGTTATCATTGCTTCCTTTGTCATTGTTGTTGCCTTGGGAATCCTGTTCTGGACTGTGGTCTGTTGTTGTAAGAGGTAAGGTGGATTCTCCTTGGAAATTCATTTGGACTTCTGGTCATGTGGTCACTCTTCAGAGGGTCATCTGGCTCCTTCCACACGGAAGGTGCCGAGTCCTGGATTCCTCCCTTGCTGTCACTGTTACAGTGGTTTGGTCCACCCAAGGCACACGCAGAAAGGCTTTCTGCACTCTCTGGCTCTACTGAGGGCAGACACACACTCCTTCAGCCAGTGGCTGTCACCATAGTGGTTTGCAACATGGGAAATGTGGCCAGCGTGGGAGTGGGAGGGCCTAGGTGTGGACCTGGATCATATCTCTAGGATATGTGTCCTTCGACACTCCACACCTCAACATCACCACCTTAACACGTGAGTTTTTCATTTTTTTCTGCCTCCTAGTTGGTATTCACATGTGTACCTGTTTTCAGTCATATACTTAGGTTTTTTTCATTTAAGCCTTCCTGTCTAGTTTTATAATATTTAATGATGTTTACTACGTTTTTCATTATTACTAAGTATGATTTCTACATTTACAGTATGCCAACCACCGTAACTTTTTACAGATAAGATCTTTTTAAATATGACCACCTTTTTTCACCTTACTAGGGAAGTCACCTGTGCATGGTCACACACTAAGTGAGAGCTGAGATTCACCCTACAACATAACCTCCCATAACACTGAGAAAATTAAAAGAATTTTTAAAAATTCCCACCAGCCTAAGACAAGCACTGTTAATAACTTCGTTGATTTAATGCTTACCTCCAACCGACACCCTTAAGCTTAGGGTTTTCATTTTCCTTATATCTTTAACCAATCCATCCTTCAGTTCCACCGTGGACTGGTGAGTCCATGCTAATATATTCGTATTTCCCTTGCCTTTTCCCAGAATTGGTGAGGATTATCTGAAGAACAGTTGCCACCTTCCCTAGCTGAAAAGTGAGGAGAAACAGCCCTCTCCTAAGCAGCGGTCCCCCAAGATGGGGCCCTGCCTGCATCGGGCTGTCATCCTGTGGTGGGCTACCTAAACCAGACATGCAGTCTCTTTCCTGAGCAGGGGAGGGGATTGTGTTTTTCAGGCAAAAAGGAAAACCCAGGAGAAAAAGCAAGTACAAGATCCTGGATGCCACAGATCAGGAAAGCCTGGAACTGAAGCCAACCTCCCGTGCAGGTAGTGGCCCTGGGAGCTGGGCTGGGTGCATTTAGATTTGTGTACTCTCCCTGTGAAGAGTCACTGTCACTACTAGTCCCCTCCTAAATGTGTCACTAACAGCTGTTTGTGTTGGAAAAGCATTTTGTTCCCTGCCTGATGAAAGCCAAGGGTCGACTTGGCCCTGCCCTGGCAGAAGCTGCGCGCTGGACCAGGTCTGATGTCAGGGCTCACCTCTTGGCACTCCTTTCCCTTTGCAGAGGAGCTGGGCCTCTTGCTTTCCCTTCGCCTGCTCATTCCCCTCGGGGTTCTGGCCTGGAGTTTAGCTTTTCAAGCTGCCCCTTGTAGTCAGGCTCAGGAACCATGATCTCTCGTGCCTGACCAGTCTGTCCTTTCTGGGCAGACAAGGTGAGGCAGCGATGAGATCAAAGCCAGTGTCTGCCAGCCTTCCTCTCCCATCTTCTCTCTCCAGTATTTGGCAGTTAGATCCACACTCTCCTTCACTGCCTTGGAGCAGGCGGGAGGGCAGCTTCCAGGCTGGCTCCAGGTACATCAGGATCATCTGTCAGGTGCCTCCCACTGAAGAATTTCTGACTGCATGAGCACTAAGGTGATGGGGTTAGGAGAGTCAGGATGGCAGAGGGCCTCCCTTGGCTACAGCACAGGCACCGTCTGTTAGTGGGAACTGGACTCTATGCTAAGCTATTCCTAAACACTGCAAGAAGACAGTTTCTACACAAAGTATTCAGCATCTCTCATACTAAAGCTTTGTGTTAGGAGAGGCTGTAGGGGGAACAGAGTTCTAAGGAATACCTGCTCTCTCCTCCTAGACTGAAATTGTCTAGGGAGGAAGAAAAGACTTATCCGAAGAAAATAAATGCTCACGGGCAATCTGGGCTCTGCACCCAGGCAGCTCTGTGAGAGAAGGCTGTGGGGTGGCACCTGGATCAGATGGTGGGGCTTGTAAACTGGAGAAGTGCAGCCAGAGCATTTCACACACACATACTGAGAACAGAGGTTTGGAGGTAAAAACCTGCACAACCCACCCACCCTCCCCACAGCAGCCAAGGTTGTTTTTATGTTCCTCTGACAAGGTTTTTCCACCAATTCAGTGACTGACTTTTGGTCTGGAAGGCATGGTCTTGGTGAGTTTTAGCAGTTTGCTTTTCTGAGATCTTCTTTATTCCTGATCTTTTTGCTGGTTCATATCTCTGTCCAGAAAGCTCTTCCTCAGTCCTCCTTTAACCTGCTAGTTAAAGTTGTGCTCACCTTTCTCCATCTGTTCCGGCATTTCCTAGTATTATATTAGTCATGTGTTTGCTTATCCGTCAGTGAAATCCTTGAGTGCAGGGACTATCTTATCATCTGTGAGTATGGACAGAGACCACTGTATTCTAGGTCCTGTGCCAGACACCACTTTTACAATATGATAAACCAGACAGACTCTGCTTATGTGGCTTATCGCAGACATTAAACAAATTCACAAATATACAAGATGTGATCATGAAAAGGTCTTTAAAAAGAATATCACTCAAGCCGAGACCCAAGGGACAAGTAGGATTTAGCCATGTAGACTCTGGGAAATAGCATTCCAGGCAAAGGAGCAAAGTTGGTAAAGGCCCAGCTGCTAGAAGGAGCAGAGGGCATTTGAGGAAGTAGAAGGCAACGTGCTGGATATGGTGAGCACAGGGAAAGTGGCATAAAGCTGGACAGGAAGCAGGGACTTGCTTAAGTGGGTTCCTTCTAAGAGCAGTTAGGATCCACAAATAGTTTTTACAGCAGGGAATGGTGTGATTTGATTTACATTTTAAAAAGACAACTGTAGCTGCTGGAGAGGGACAAGAGTGGGTGAGAAATTTGATAGCATGTCCTTAGGTAGAGAGATGATGGGATAAGGAGAGGCAGGTAGATTCCAGATACATTTGGGGGAAGACTTGATGAGGTTCATAGTATGTTCATAGTATGTGGGAGTAAAGGAGAAGGATGGTCCCCAGGCTTCTTCTTTGAGCATCTGTGGGTTCAATGATGTTACTCCCAGAGATAAGAAAGACTGGGAAAGAACTGTTGAAGACACAGTATGAATGGGGTTGAGGAAATGAGGCTGGAAGACTGACGAGGACCAAATTATGGAAATATCTGAACATTAGCCTGAGGAATTAAGCATTTATTGAGAAACGACATCTTGAAAGTGGTGGCTTAGGAAGATTATTAGTCCAATGACAACATTTAATTGATTGAAGGGGAGAGATTATAGGTGGAGGCCAGTGAAATTTTTTTGATGGTCTAAGGAAGAGGCAATGATGGCTCAAACAGTATGGTGTCCTTGGGTGGAAGAGGAGGAAAAGGCCAAAACTGACATCTCCCTGAGAGACAGAGATTATTGGCACTGCTGACAGAATTTAGACATCTGGAGCAGTGGCAGTTTGGGTAAGAGATGAATTAGATTGAACTCAGCAGAACAGGACTGGAAATACCGGTAGAGGAATCTTCTGTAGGCTGGTGAGGGTCAGCACCACAGAAGTGGATCCCATTCCGTATGGGGAGAAGATTGAGGGATGAGGGGAGAAGGCTGAGGGATGAGGGAAGAGTCCAGGGCTGAGAAGCCCAAGAATGGCAGTCAAGGAGGGAGGAGGGGTATCGTTAGGGAGCGGTCAGCAGTGTGTGCTGCTGCACAAGAAAAAGGTGAGAATGACGACGACGACACTACAACAGTCTGTGGTCACCTAAGGAGCTAGAATAGAATGGTAGATGACGGCAGAAGTGAAAGTACAGGTTCTTTAGGAAGTAGGTGGTGAGGAAATGGAGGCTCTAAGTATTTTAAAGAAGTCTTTGTAGAAGCTGAGCAATGAAAAGTGAAGTGGGATGGGGGGTTAGAGGGCAAGAATTTTCTTAGGAGTGGCTCCATAGTGTAGTGGTTAGCACGTCTGCTTTGCATGCAGAAGGTCCTTGGTTCGCGCCCCAGGTTGAGTCACAGACCATACCCTGGGTGGGCCAGGCCCCCTAGGTGCGCCAGATCCTGGGTGTGCACCAACAGCATGTGGGAGGAGGTGCCCCGCCTTCAGAGATCCAGTTCTTTAAGGGGAAACAGCAACATCCATGGGTCAGGGGTGTAAGTGGGGGTGGAATCAAAGGAAGGGGGAGAATTTTCTTGGATGGGGTTCATAAGCACATCTGTGGATGCGAGTGCAGAAGATACAGGTGAGGCTCCTGAGATGGAGAGAGTAGGGCATAAAGGGAAAAAAGGAGAGAGGGGTGAACAGAGCTGCAATACCTCTTCTGAGGCAGGAGGGAGGGAAAAGCTGGGTGGCGGCACTAAGATGTGCTTGGTTTGAAAAGGCACAATGGGAAGGAAGCCTGAGGGCAGTATGGCAGTCTTCTAGCCTAAAGAAGAGTAGTGGGGTGAGTAGTGGGGTGTGTTGCAGAGAAAGATGTACATAGAAGTGTTTGCTGAGAGCCAGGTTAAGCTTGGATGAGCAACTGGAAGCAGCAGTCCCACCCGAGTGAGCTCATGAGCACGAAGGCTGCCAGGTGGTGTGGGGATGCCCGCCTCAGGAGATGCAGTTTACATTCAGCAGCTGTTGTTTTGGGTTGGGTTTAGTTTTAGCTATTCTGTTGATTAAAAAAAAACCCCAAAACAAAAAACCACTTTCTTTGAAGTATATTAGGTTTGAACCATATGAAATTACTGATATTTTCCTTATAAGAAGGGCAGTTTTTTTGTGGTTCAACCTAATAGGTAAAGGAAAACATTAACAGAACTTAAAGGATGTTCACAAGTTAAAATGCCTATAGAATCAGCCCCACAGAAACTCCCACTTTGTGCTTCTTTGCAGTCACTGCCTACCCCCGCCCCATTTACTTCTGATATCTTGGAGTAGTTTATATAAATGAGTCCATTGTTTGACTCCTTTCGCTCAACATTACATTCATGACTTTCATTCATGTTATTGGGATATAGCAGTAGTTCGTTCACTCTCATTGCTGTGTAATTTCCATTGTGTGACTTTTTATTCATCAGGCATACTGTTGATGGGACAATTACTTTCTATTTGGGGCTGTTACGAGTGCTGCTGTACATGTTCTTCCATGTCCTTTACAGCAGTGGTCCCCAACCTTTTTGCCACTAGGGACCGGTGCTCCTATGAGAATCTAATGCCTGATGATCTGAGGCGGTGATGCTAGTGCTGGGGAGCAGCTGCAAATACAGATGAAGCTTCGTGCGCTGGCCTGCTGCTCACCTCCTGCTATGTGGCCTGGTTACTAACTGGCCACAGACTGGTACCAGGGGTTGCGGACCCCTGCTTTGGTGGACATACATATGGACTTGTTAGGTGTAGACCTAGGAAAGGAATTGCTGAGTCATACACATCTGTTCAGCTCCCACTGATGTTACCAGTTTCCTGGCTTGTTTAGTGGGTGGAGTCCATTCAGTTCTTCAGGCAGAGCAGGAGCCTGTGGTGGGAGGGCCCTGGGTGAGTGCTGTGGAGTCAGGAGCATGTGTGTCTCCTTCAGGCTCCTGACCACTACAGCTATGGCCCAGAAAGGCTGTGGGGAAGAAGAGAAGCATCATCAAGTGGGTGCTGGGTAGAGAAAGCCACTAGAGGGCACAGAGAGCCAGGGATGAGTATTTCATCTCCAGGAGCAAGGCAGCGGTTTTGAGGATCTTGAGCCTCCCCTGGGTTTGGTTCTTAAACTGGCCACTGTCCTCCAACACACTGGCGAAGCCCAGATGCTGGCATTCTTCCCTGGCTCTGCTGCTCTGCCATCCTAAGATTCAGTGGGAGGTGTGGCTATCTGTAGTCACGTACCAGAACTATAATCCTGAGATGGTCAAGGTCTGCGAGGAGGTGGTTGTGGGTGACAAATGCAGTCAAGAGTCTGGATGCCCTAGCATTCACAGCCTTCAGTCATGTCTGGCCAGGAAGGGGCAAAATGGTTGAGAATCATCTCGGGAGACTCAGTGCTTTCTGGAGATCTGGATGGGACAAGGCTAGGGAGAATGCTTGTTGGATGATGAGAATTCAAACAAACCTCACCTGACTGATCATCTTTTTAAGAAAGGAGGGAAGTTATAGCTCCTGGGGGTGGGCAGTGCCAGGGCCCAGGGTACTGCCAAACCGGGTTCTTGCTGCTGCTAATTCCCATTTCTAGTCCTGCTATCTCAGCCTACCTTTTGCTTTCTCTGGAGTAGTATTTACACCAGCCAGGACAGCCATCTTGCTGTTGGATGGGATCTGCCCTAAAGCCACTGTATGGGATGGTCTCTTTGAAGCCATAGGGATAAGTAGTGACAGTGACTCCATGGCTTGCAGAATCTCACAAATCTTTTCTGACTTCAGTGCTGCTTATGAGTCCTTGTTTGTGTGTTCTGATGAGCTGACAGTTTGGAACTGGCTCTGAGCGGCCCTACTTCAATCAGGCTCTCCCAGCAGGTGCCTGCTTTCTGACCTCCAGTCCCGGCTCAGTGAAGCCAGAGCAAACATCTCCGTAGAGTGAAGTCCCTTCCTCACCCAGTGTCAGGAACTCTGGCATGCACTTCACATCCATGCTGAGCCAGGACATAGTGAAAGCTCATTCTCTAGAACCTTGTTTGTTGTGCTTTCTTGCCTTCTGTACAACTTCACCGTATTCATAAAGGGAGATGATAAAACATTGCACATTTAAAAGAGAAAGAAAAGAGAATATCATTGGGTGGTACTAACCAAAGCTCCTGGAGATCAGCAGTCAACATTGGAACTGTCTCCAGTTTACTCTGACTTCCCTTATGGGGCCGTCCCAGATATCCAGGATTGGCAGAAAGACTCAGGAAACCACCTGGCCACCTGCCCCTCAGCCTGGAGAGGGGACCATGACCCTCTGTCCCTCTGCTCCTCTTCAGGCTGGGAAGAAGATGCAGGCTGTGGCCCAAGCCTGGGAAGGTTTGTGCTTTGGGATTTTGGGAAGGTTTGACGTTGGGATTCCTTGTCTCTCCTGCAGGCATCAAACAGAAAGGCCCAATACTGAGCAGCAGCCTAATGCACTCCGAGTCAGAGCTGGACAGCGATGATGCTATCTTCACTTGGCCAGACCGAGAGAAGGGCAAATTCCTGCATGGTCAGAATGGCTCCGTGCCCAATGGGCAGACACCGCTTAAGGCCAGGAGCCCACGGGAGGAGATCTTATAGCCAGCCACCTGATCTGTCTCCTCAGGGTAGGGGTGGCAGTGCCAGAGTCCAGAGCATTGCCAGGCTGGTTCTTATACCTCCCATGTCAGTGGGCAGCTGTTCTCCCAGCATCCACTGGTCACTCCCCGTAACATGCCCAACCAGAGCTGCTGGTACTTGAATCCAGACATTCTCCGGGAACCCCTGAACAAAGCTGTGAACGAAGAGGTTTCCTCTTTAAACCCATTGGTAGCCGCCCGCCCCATATCCTCACCTCAGGGCCACCTTTTTTGCAAACCTCTCTCCTGCTCCGTAGGTGGACACAGCCAGCTCCTGGCCTCCTTTCCAGCTCCCTGTTGGCAGTGTTGCTGCTCCCAGGGCACCTGCACAGCGAGACCTGGCTGTGTCTCCACTCCTGGGTACAGAACCAAGCACCACCAGCCTCCTGGCTCCAAGAGCCTGCTGGCATGTTGTGAGGAAGTGCGCCCTCTCGCTTGATCCAAAGGAAGTGGCGTCCCCTTCTCACCATTGGTGCTGGACTGGTAGTGCAGATATGGTGTCTGGCCCGAGATTTGGGAGGAACTGGCTGTTTCAGGAATGGAGAGGGTCAGAGCAGCTAGGCTGGACACAGACTGCCTCCCCTCATCATCCTGACCAGCGCTGGCTGCTTCAGGGCTCAGGCCCCACTCCCTGTGCCCAGAGAGGAGATAGCCACAAAAGGACTGGAATGTGACGGCATGAGAGCGCATGTGTGCGACTGCCCCACTGCGGTCTCCTCATATGTCTGCGTGTCTTCTGTGTCCCTTGCATGTGCGTGTGTGTGCTGGAATGTGTGTGTGCGCGCATCACCTCCTCATAGGGCTCTTGGCTACTCACAAGGCAACCTTGACCTGGAAAGACTTTCAGCTCCTTGAAACAGACTTCCTGAATCCCTCCAGACCTGTCACTGGTTCCTCAGCCATGGTATCTGGGTATTGAGGAATGGGAGCTTGGGGGAATGACTTTAAAAAAAAAAACACAAAACTACAGTTTATACTACTATACTACTGTCTGTTGTGAGATGATTAAACATGCTATTTAATTGTACATGTGCCTGCTGGGTGTGCTGCTTTATGCTCCATTGCTCATCTGTACCATGGGTCCAGCCACCTGTATGTCCCTGTGACATGATGGCCTCCAGTAGGGAAGTCCTGGGCCTGGCATCAGTACTGTGGCCGATGATGCTGGGATTCTGCCCCAGCTGCTGCTGGAGGAGTGCATCATGTCTGGCCCCTGCTGGCCAGTTGCTCCCCTTGGTGTTCAAGGGAGGGAGTTTTCTGTCCTTTCTTCCATGCTTTTTGTTAACACAAAAAGGAACCCCCACTCTCCCAGCATCCTAATGCCCAGGGTGTGGGCCTTTCTAGAATGGCCAGAAGAAAGGCCCAATAGAGGGCATCCTTGCATTTCTGGAACCCCACTAGGTAGTGTGTACATAAGGAAACTCACCAGGAAGCAAAACTCAAAACCCCTAGGGCTGGAAGGCTGCAGCCTTCGCCTTCCTGCTTGGGGAGAGACTGATCCTTGTTCTCAGCTGATAAGTGGAATGAGCGGAAGAGCTGGTCACACACATTGAGTTGCTCTCTGAAAACAGGTATGGAAAGAAGGTACATGCAGTCAGGCCATCAGCCCCTGGAAAAGAGAGTTTGAGGAGCATGGATCAGGCCCTGGACTCTTCTGTGGAATTTGTGTTGACTAGTTTAAGGGCCTCTATACATTTTCTGGTCAAGCCCAGGCCACTGTTATAACCTCTTCCACCTACCTAAACCCCTGTTGGTGTAGGGGGTGGGAACCTAATTTTCAAGATTCCTAGCATCAGGGGTATGGCTATCCATTCTTGTGCCTCCCCCCTGAGGGAGCTGAGTTGCTCAAGTTTGACACTGAAGGGTATTGATCAGCCTTTTATGGTCACAAGGAACAAACGTAAAATTATCCCTCATGTGAATTCTCGGTGCAGATATAAAACTGCCTGGCAGGTTATTGCTGTGCCCTAGTCTAACATTCCTAACTACACTTCAGATTTCCTTCCTTCCTCACTTCTAACTAAACAACATGTTCCTGTGCATCGACATCTGTGGTTCTCATGGTGGCTACACACTGGCATCACGTGGACAACTTTTAAACTGTTCTGATACTGGAACTCACACCTCAGGTTTTGATTTTTGAAAATTTAACTCATCTTTTATTAATTCCTCAGATCATTTGTGCAGCCATAACATGCCTTCGACAAGGGGGAAAGCAGCTCTTAGAAGCTCAGCTCCAAAAGACTTGCAAACCAGTTGGGTTTCGGCAGACAAAGAGGGAAAGCACCTAGACATCCCATCTCTCTTAAACACCTCAGGGAGAGGCCCCTGCAATTGGGTGTGGCAAGATCAATCATTCACCAAACGAGGGTCCTTTTATAGGACACACAGCTCATCCACATCTCTAGCCTTCTGCACCATATGGCAGAGGAGACACGTTCCAACTTCAGCCCTGACCCATTAAAAATCTTTGTCTCCTGCTCCCTTCCTCCATCTGGTAGCCAGAGCAGAGGAGCACTCAGAGAACTCTGAGGCCATGATCGAGACACAAGATCGAGGGAGCCTTGTCCCTGGAACCACCATCTAGAAGAGAGCTGCCCTACCACAGTGGTCGTTGAAAAATTATGTTAAGATTATGGGCCCAGGTTCTCTTCTGTGACAGGCCTCCCTGGGCCCAAATACATCACTGGAATTGACAATGATGCCTCAGCACAGGCCTCTACAACAGCCATGTGGGATGTACGCTGCCCTAAGCAGCACAGCAGTGGACAGCCATTGCAAGCTGGGGAGTAGAGTCGTGAAACTGCATACTTGTTTCTCTTGCCCCATCCATCCCAGCACAACCTGGTAGAGGCAACGGAGACGTCCCTCCAAACAGTAGGAACAGCAGGCATTAGAATAAATGCGGTAGCTCTGGGAGCTTGCAAAACCAGATCTCCACCACCTGCCACATTTCCCTACTACAATGGGGGTGCCCTTTAACAAGCTAGTTGTTCACAGAGGGGACATCCACAATCCCAGTGGGTATGCTACATTTTCCCTGATGGAAGCAATGACGGTCCACCACAATCCCTGAGGCACAAATAGTGCAGATAAAAGAAAAACTTGTGCTATAACAGCATCTACTGGAAAACGAAAGTACCAAATCAACATGCTGAATTGTCGAGAGCAAAACAGTATCTAAACAAGAAAAGAGTTCAGTAACTCAAATGCACAGAGAAATAATCCATCAAATACCATGAACAACCAAGGTAACTTGGGAGCACAGAAAGAAAATGAAGAGTCTCCAGAAACCAAACTCAAAGTCATGGAAGACAGTGATTTAAGTGACAGAATTCAAGATTGCAGTTATGTAGAAACAACAATATACAAGAAAACTCAGGCAGTTAAATAAGCTCAGGAAAAAAAATTAATAAACAAAAGGAGTACTTTACTAAAGAGATTGTAACTATAAAAAAGCAGCAAACAGAAATTCTAAAGCTGAAGAGCTCAATGAATAAGAGAAGGAATGCATTAGAGAGCACTAGAAATAGAGCAAGCAAACAAACTGGAAGAATTAGCTCAAAGACAGAAATCTAAACATGACCCAGGAGGATGAAGAAAGAACTAGGAATTCAAAAAAAATGAAACACTACAAGAACTATCTGACTACATTAAAAAGAGCAATATAAGAATATTAGGTATACCAAAAGGAGAAGAGAGGGAGAAGAGAATAGAGAGCTTACCAAAAGAAATAACTGTTGAAAACTCTGCGAGCCCATGGAAGAACTGGACATTAAAGTGAACTGGACACCTAATTACATCAACAAGATCTTCTCCAAGACATATTTTATTCGAACTGTCAAAAATCGATGACAAAGAATTCCCAAGGCAGCGAGGGGAACAAAGACTAACATACAAAGGAATAACCTCATTAGACTATTATCAGATTTCACAGTAGAAACACTACAAGATAGAAGAGAAGGAAATATTCAAAATATTGAAAGAGAGGAACATCTATCAAGGATAATATATCCAGCAGTTATCCTTTAGATATTAGGGAGAAATAAAAGGCTTTCCCAGACAAAAGCTGAGAGAATTTACCACTTGTGTTATAAGAACTGTTGAAAGGAGCTCTTCTACCAGGAACAAAAAGACAAAAGTATACAAAACTTTGAGTAAGATGACAAACAGAAGCAGGAAACAGGAAATCTACTTTGGAATAGGGCAGCAAATAATTATAAAGGTTAAAGGGAGGGAAGGGGATGCTGGCATTAAAAAATAACCATAGTGCAATTTGGTAATGAGCGCACAACATAAAAAGGGATAATATGTGACAAAATCATAAAAGGAGAGGAGGTAAAGCACCGAATGGGTACAGGTGAAGATAAAAAGCTATCAGAAGAAAATGAACTATTATATGTATGAAACATTTTACACAAACCTAATGGCAATCATAAAACAAAAATCCAGAGCTGAGACTTGAAACACAAAAAAAGGAAATGGAGAAAAGAAGTCATAGAAACTGCCAAACTAAAGTAGCAGACAGAATCACAAAGGGGAGAAAACAACAAAACAACAATAGAGAAAAAGAGCAACTAGCAAACGAAAGATAAAATGGCTGTACCAAGGTCTCATATATCAATAATCACCCTAAATGTAAATGGACTGAACTCATCAATCAAAAGGGTTGCCTCGCCTAAAAAATAAAAAAATAAAACCAAGCAATGACAATACAAAAAAAATTAAAAATTACAGGCCGATATCTTTGATGAACAAGAGCAAAATCCTAAACAAAACACTAGCAAATTGAATACAATATATTAAAATAAGCATACATCATGACCAAGTAGGGTTCATTCCAGGGATGAAAGGATGTTTCATCATCTGCATATCAATGTGATACACCACATTAACAAAGATAAAAATCATATGATCATATCAATAGATGCAGAAAAAAAAAAACATTTGAAAAGATACAACATCCATTTATGATAAAAACACTCAATAAAATGGGTATATAAGGGAAGTACCTCAATATAATAAAGGCCATATATGACAGTCTTCTTTTCCATTTATTTCTGGTTTTATTACTATTTTCCTTTTCTTTTTTCCCCGTTGTTCACTCCTTAAATTATTGAATGATTGCTTCATTCTTAATCTTGTTTCCTGAAAATGATTTCATGAAAATAAAAGATGATTTCAAATCTATAATTTTCCCCTCTCAGTTCTGCTTTAGCTGTGTTCCCAGATTCAGACACAATGATTTTATCGTTAGTCCATTGCAGGTAGGTGTTTTCTCATTTCCTTTTTTAACCCAAGAGTTATCCATCTTCCCTTTTCTTGCCCAAAACTCTGTTTTCAAGCTGTTTTTGAGGTACAGTAATATCAATATTTACAGTTTTTTATTGTTGTCTTATCAACATACAATCCTTTTTTCTTTTTTGCATTGAATTGTTTTAACAGATACTATAAAGCCTGCTTCCCCAGCTTTCTTTTGGTTAATATTTATCTGATAATGTTTTTCCATTATTTTTGCCTGTTAGATTTTTAAAAAAGAATTCGTATTGAGTCTTTTAAATTTTATCTATCTAGATATCAGTATAGACTCATGAATTCCTATTAAATCATAATCTGATACTCTCATTTATTTTGATACATATTGTCCTAGATTTGACCAATAGAAGCCTCTTCTAGCTGGCTCCTGTGTCCTTCCAACGTGTTCCATTTTTTTTTTTAAAACATTTACTTACTCAAAACAAGATGTTCCAGGATTATTTTGTACTTTCTCTGCCCCCATCTTGGATTAAGCCAATAAACCCTAATGCTTTAGCACTTGGTATGCTCATTGCTAAGGTAAAATTGTTCCTATGCCTTGTCATTGGATAGAATCAATTCATAAACATATACACATATTCATATAAACTATATATCTACCTAAATCTGTGAGTTCATACCAATTCTGATTTCCATTCACCTCGGGGTTCTTTCTAGCCTTCTCCCTTTCCACATTTATTAATCACTTCTCAAACGGTGAGAAATCTGGCT